TTATACATTTTTAAATGGTTGAGAAGAAGACCAAAGGAGTGAATTTTATAACATTAGAATACACAGATTTAATATATATAAATTTCCTCTTCTTGGACCCCAGCTATTGTTTTTGTCTGTGGTTGCTTTCTTATTGTAATGACAGTGTCCAACAGTTGTGACAGAGACCAAATGACTTACAAAGTCTAATATTTACTTTCTGACTCTTTACTGAAAATGTCTGCCAATCCCTGGTATAAGAGAATAATGGGCAATAATGGTGCAAAGGAATGTTGGCAGGCCTAGAAATATACCAGGCTATGGAGATAAAGAGATGTCATTGAATGTTTCCAATATAGAAGGAAGCCAGTTTACAAAAATGATACTGATGTTTGGGGACTTTTCTGAGAGGGCACTTGGGTGACTCCTCCTTTGATCTTTCTGCTTCTTTGAATTGTATGTTCTTCTGCCTTTCCTACAACAGCTCAGATATGAAAGTGAGGATTGTAGGTGATACTCTGGAAGAGGGCTGGCTTGGACACAAAGAATTATCCAGAGAATTTGTGACATCCAGGGCATTTGAGGAAAAGTGAATTGGGCAAAACATACTGCATTCAACACAGTCCCGCTCCTTTGGTTCTTGCTATCAGATTCCTTATGGGTGCTTTTCAAATACTTTGTTTCTATTCTAATACTTTCAGGAAAGCATGTAAGAGGAGGCCTCATCAGGAGGAGAAATCTAAGACTCCTGTAGAGAAACACACATGGGAAGAACCTCATAATAAGAAGAAAATAAACTCTGGGAAACATGGTTTAGAAATATCAGACTCAATTAATTATGGAGCCTTCAGTGGCCTTGGAGAAATCCAATACAAACCAAATTCAAACTACATGCCAGTGCTTCTGGCCATATTTACTTTCAATTGATTATAGTTTAAAAAGAATCTTTGGGGGAATTCTTGAGGAAAAAAATCTGGCTAAAACCTACATTCTTAAAGAACATTAATTTTAGAGTTTTTCCCCCTTTTAATGAAATTCAGATTTCTTCTTTTTTCCTTTATTGGTTGGTTCTTTTGAATTTTATTGTAGTTATGTTGTTTATTTAGGAACTTCCAATAGGAAGGGTAGAATGGAGATGATGGTGTAAATGGAGAATGTTATGAATTACAAAACACTGTATATAATATTTTGAAAGTGAATTTTAAGCCATGTACAAGTTGTTTTGGACATCAACTCAGTTAACTATGAGGATAATGAGGAATCATGGCAAATTCTGGATTACAGCTATGTAGAAGCTTGATATAGCCATAAGCTTAAATGTTGCTGGGAATGCAGTTGAGTGACATTGCAAATGATCTTCTCTCTACAATGAAGGAATGAAGCTCAACCTTTTATGTCAGTATATTCTCGTAATAAAGGCATAGCCACAGAGGTCCTAGCACCAGATGTAGGTATAGACACACATACAGAAGTGGACAGATAGATACCTGCCTCAGAATATTAAAGGGCTTCTAGATCTAAATTGTGACAGCACATGGTTTCTAGGGGAAAAAAGATTTCCTATTCTGACCTAGAATACTAAAAAGTGACATTCAGCTATCATTTTCTAATGGATCTTCCATTCACAAGTCTCCCATGGAAACAAAATTTTTATAGTGGATGGCAAGAAGCATGACACCAGGAATTTATTTAAAATCTTTAGTCAGGAAAACTTAAGATTCAATTAAAACCTTAATAAATGACTATTGAATTCATATGTGTAGGATGAAATTGGAGAGGTTATAAGAACTGTATTTTGATTCTATTTCTATCAGAAAACTGCATAACTCTGAAAATTACTTGGTAATGAGGTTGTCTACAATGAAACAAAAATGAATTTTTTAAATTAAAATTATTGTTATTATAAAGGTAATGTACAGAGGGGTTACAGTTACATGAGTTAGGTCAATGTCACCCTTTCCCTCGCTCTCTCCCAGTTTTTTCTTTCTGTCCCCACCCACAAGTTGTATAGCTCATTTTCAACATGGTGTCTATTGAGTACCACTGTGCCCACTTTATCTTGCCAAAGACAAATAAATGGACAAACAAGACAAAAAGAAAAGAAAAAACGGTAATGAAGAAAATAATCTCTCTTGCTTCCATTTCCTGGACTTTATTTTATATGTCCAGATGCATATAGGAATTGCACCTTTGTGTTCCTCTCCTAAGAACATCCTTCCCTGTCCTCACTATGTGTGAATGCCTAGAGTCTTGTACATGACTTGTCATAACTCAGGAAGTCTCAGAGTTAAGTTATATTGAGGTTTTATTGGTAACAGTCCTGATGAAGATGTAAGATGGACCAAGGGAAGCCATCAAGAGCCCTGACATAGTGTGACAGAACCATGAAGGGAAGCCAGGGCAGCTAAGAAGGCCAAGTCTGTGGCAAGCCCCTTGGCATAAGTAAGAGAAAGCAGTGACAGTCTTGCTTGGTTGTCACCAAGAGCAGAAGGTGGACAGAGCTTGGTTGTGTGGGAGGTGGAGATGGGATATGAAGTATCATTATAGCATTAATCTGGGGGCTGAAAAGATGCAAGGTTAAGTTTGTTGTGTACATTCAGTTAGAGAATGTCTTTTACTCAAATGTATCAGAATCCTAGGTTTTCTTATGATTAGATACAAGACACAGGCTAAGTATGAAGGGTGCCACATGGTAGATACTGGGTTCCTGATATATGGGCAAGCTGAATATAACAGTGTAGATGGCCGATTCTGTAGCTCAACTCCTGTTCCTCTATTTACCAATCATAGAGATTAGAGAATCAAATGGGATGTCAGCTGCAAAATACTTTCATTATTAGCATTTTTTTGGAAACAAAGACTTTTGGCTTTAAATGGCATAAATCGACTTGGAAAATTATTATAGTTAGACTAAGCTATTTCTGAAGTTTGGCCAGGTTTAAACAAAACTATGCTGGCCACATTCTCTTCCCCCCATCTCCCTCCAAACTTGGCTGTACCTTTATCCCCTGATAGATTCAGAACTTGTTTTATGTTTTTTCCTTTTTTTTTCTTTTCTTATTTCCAAAAGGTTTTGGAATTGCTCCTCTTAAAGAGTGATGGCTAATACTATTTTGTCAGATTTCTTGTCCAGATTTATTCTAGAATTCATTGAGTTTGTAGTTAGTTATAAATGTATCTGTTGCTAACTATATTTGAGGATAACTTGTGGGTTTTAATTTAAAAAGTTACGTTTTGGGGAATGTGAACATGGGTGGGTGGGAGTTGGAGAAAACATGTTGAAGTGGGTAGAAGGGGAAAGCTAGAAGGGGAAATTGGAGAGGACAGGATGCTGAGAGATGCTGAGGATCATAAACATCACACACACACACACACACACACACACACACACACACACACACACACATGTATGTGAGGACAGCAGAAGGAAAACCATCCAGGGAGGAGGAGGAGGAGGACTATGGAGGAGGTGAATTTGTTCCAAATGCACCATGTGCACACATGGGCATATCACAAAGAACCCTACCCCCTTACAAATGTATGCTAATTCAAAAATACAAATAGTTTTAAAAAGTTGATGATGAAGCCTAGAAAACATCATGGAACACCGAAGCCACCAAATGCTAAATGTCTGCCCCATCAGCACTCATCCTTTGGAGATACTCAAGATGGATAGCAAGCTACCAATGAATCTTTTCCCATAAGCTAGCTCTGGTGGAAGGTTTACTTTAGATATTCATTAAAAGTGCACAGAAGTGCCAGGAATGGAGGTTTATGCACTAATGAAAATTACCTCATGTAATTCTGGTGAAGACAGATACTATTATAGTTATGTAATATAAATTAAAGAGAGGCACAAGGAAGAGACAAAGATGTACTCTGCCCACTCTTGCTCACATTTCTTTGAAGCTTTGCTTCCTTTTTGGTTAAATATCATGGTCTGTTAGCATGCATCTCTTTATCTTTTCCACTTAACTGTGATCTTTCCATTATGTACAAAGACCATGCGGCGAATCTCTTAGTCCTGACAGATCCTATAGTATTTCAGAGATTTTTTTCCCTCCATTCAGTCACAGTTTATAAAAGATTCATTCCTCCACTTAGTAGTAACTCAACAAAAGCTTGCTGAATTAATAAAGGAAAGAATGAAACAAGTAAATTTTCCTGGCCTGCAAAGGACCCGTGAGCTAAAGCAGTAAAGTATATCGTCCTGATGAAGGCGTTCCTTCAAATACTGTAATGGAATCTAGGTGAGCAAACTAGCTTGGGCTTCCAGTAAGGCTAATTTCTCTGGGGTACACATTTTGGGGCGGCTTTGCAGGCTTCTTTGACAGACCAAGAGGTCCACACATGTATGCCTACCAACAGCAAGCTCTTTGGGCCCGGGCCACCTGCCTTTTAGGTACAGCTGCCACACCGCGCTTTGTTTGAGGGATCGAGTTCGGGTCGGAGGACCCAGCAAGGAGCTTTCTGGATTGCCCATCAGGCCGGGTTGTGCGGAGTGCGCCCCGGGGCCGGGGGTCGGGGGGCCGGGGAGCATGTGCGGAACCTCGCCAGCTACTTTCCAAGAACCCTCGGATGTGCCCAAAGCCTGCTGCGGGACACGCCAAACCCAGCCAACTTTTTAAAGTGGGAAGTGCCTTCTAGGCGTGCTCTGATGTGTGAAAGCACACTGAGCAACTACCGCTCTCCCTCCCGGGCGGGACCCGGATCACCGCCGGATGCATAGTATTTTGCATACGTTGAACTAGAGAACACTGAACAGGAAAAGAAGTAGCAGCAGCTGGAGAACTAGAGGCTGCGGCGGGCGCCGGCGCCAGCCACAGCACGTGACGCAGGGGGCGGAGCCTGTCGGGCCGCCGGCCAGTGAGTAGAGCCGGGGGCGGGGCCACGGCGCGGGGGGCGGGGCCTGTGGCCGCGCAGCTCGCGCCGCGGTCCCCTTCTTTGGGTCTGCGGGAATGTGGGCTGGGGCGGTCCAGCCGCGGTGCCAGTCTCCAGCCTGCCGCCGGGTCTGCCCGTGATCCAGGCGCGCCCGCCACTCGGTGGCCGGAGCGCCGGCGGAGCGCCATGGCCTGCATCCTGAAGGTAACGAGTCGGATCTGTGGCTCGGACGCGTGGTTGACCAGCCCCTTGGCTGCTTAGAGGCACCGAGTCAGCCGCGGTCCCACCGCATCCTCATCTCAGTGGTCTTTGCTGGCAGTGATTTTCTTTTTGTTCCTTTGGCAAATGCATATGGAGGGAGATTCTGAAGCATGCAGCTGGCACAGCTCCTTTTCCCACCATTCCTGCCTGCTCGCGCCTGCACCGGAGGAGCTGCAGAGTGACGGCTCCCGGGGAGCCGAGCGGGGCTGTGTGCCTAATAATGGTGATTGCAGGGCGAGCAGCGGAGCTCCCGCCAGACCCGCGGCTCCGCGCAGCCTGAGGCCTTTCAGTGGCCTGGGGCAGAGCAGAAGCCACCGGGCAGAGGTTGCTAGCGAGGAGGGAGGTAGCGCTGCGAAGGGGTTGGTGGTCGAGAGTGAGAGTTCTACTGGGCGTTTGATTATGTCAAGACCAAAAAACTTCTGGGTTTACAGGTAGTCCCTTAGGAATGAGTTTCCTAGGAGATCTGCTAGCTTTATTGGACACCAGCTATACTTGGGAAAAGTTCATAGGAAGGTGTATTATATAGGACAGAACCTTAGATCTACACTTAGCAAAAGCCAATCACCCCCCCCCCACCCGCCCTCCCTTTTTTAAAGTTTTCTCCAAATCTAGTTTCTTGGCCTGCTCTTGAGTACCTCTCTGGGTTCACAGCCTTGTGGCTTCAGGTGTGAAGAGTTTGTGTAAGAGTCTCTTCCTTGAGAACCACTTTCCATCACACCAGTAACATACAGCTTTCACCCTGTTTTTTTTTTTTTTTCCTGCACTACCCTTCTACAAGTCCTAACCTGATTGCATGAATAAAAATTATTCACAGCAGGGTTTCCTGGGCCTTGACTGGAGAATGCAAAGGCCTGTTTATTCTCAGCTTGGAGGAAGCTGTGAGTGACAAACAAAAACATTAGAAAACATTTTTAAAAACATGTCTGTGTATGTTATTGTAAAAGAGTATTTGCTTCTCAGTAGGAGTCATCTACCCTGGTTTCAGTTACCTGAATCATCTTCCAACATGGCTTGGTGTTATTGATGCAAATAAGAAATCAATCTAATAGAATATGGTTTCCTTTCTTAGGAATAAAGATCAGACATTACCTGTGATTTCCTGAGCTTCCGCTGTTTATTTGAGAACAATTTCCAGGACATAACAAATGGTGGCAAAATCACAAGGAAATAATACGTTGGTATTACAATTTTGGTATTTTTAACCTCAAGACTTTTAAGCACAAGGAAATCTTAATGAGCCATTTTTACTATTATATAGTTATTGGCTCTCAGGGAAATTGAGGAACATGACGTTTACTGTTGGCTGTCTTCCCTTTTAGTTTTCCTTCACTCTGCACATGTTCCAAGCATCATTTTTATGGAAGAGGCACTGCTGAAGACTGAACCCAAGGCCTCACATATACTCAACACGTATTCTGCTACTGACCTACATCTTTGACCCCCTCCAAACATCTTTAATCCACACTCCAAGTTATACATGAGTCTGCTCTGATCCTGCATGTACAGCACCTCACATTGACCTCAGACATTTGGGGGCACAGCTGCCTGAGACTTTGGGATGTAGACAGACTGCAAAGAGCAAAGACTTTGTATGCAGAGACTTTAAAGTTTACATGCTGAATCTTAGTTTCCTCAAACGAATGCCATTACTCCACAGGTTGCTGTGAGGTTGCTGAACATATGTTAATATGTTCAGTTGTGATAAGTAGGGTTTAATAAGTTTCTTCCCCCCCCTCCTCCACATATAGTAACAATTATAAGTTAGTTAATACCTACTAAAGCCCTGGTCTGTTTCATGTAATATAACATTTATTCTTTTATAAAATCTTTAAAATTAAGTATTATTGTTTTCAACTCCATTTTATAGATGAGGAAACTGAATGTCTTGAGTTTAATTGATATGCCTAGGGATATACAGGGTAAAGGATAGAGTGAACCTGCATTCAGGCCGAGGTCTGTCAACTTTTAAGCCATTCCCACGTCATCCTTGAAAGGCTACACATTATGCAGTGGGATGTATAAGTGGTAGTCCAAAGACTGAGGTTCAGGGCAAGCTTGGCCTTTCACATTTGGTATTTTACAGTCACATCAATGTGGGTCCTCCCTTTTCCCAAGTTGTAGAATGACATAAGATTGTAATTATTTCTTAGCAGAGTTGTGGGATAAAATGATGAACATTCTTTTATGTCACAGGTTGGCTCTAGAGAGAGCTGTTGGCATCTCTTGGGGGGAAAGGACTTTATTCTATTGGCTCCTGTGCTTGGACCTGATGATCAAATGGACAGAATACAGGTTAAAAAGAGAAGAACATGCATTTTGTATTTGATGTTATTGTCTTGATGAATATATACAAAAAGGTGTTCATATATGTATAAGAAGTACAGACCCCCCCAAAAAAGAAGTACAGACCCAAAGAAGAGTTTTATATGACATTTTCAAACAAAGAGTAGTAAATTCATTGGATGAGAGCTAGTAAATTGTAGGAAAATGATTGGCAAACATGTGAGGGAAACTAATGGAAAAATACAGTTTTAAATATGTAGTTTGCTTTAACAAGTTGAATTTGGTCTTGATCATTATCTTTCATAATTTTTTGTTTTGTTTTGTTTTTTGCTTTTGTCAGTCATAGACTGATGGACTCTGGGCCCGGATGCTGTCCCTGAGTTCTTCAGCTCAAGGCAAGCACTGTACACTATGAGCCACAGCATCACATCTGGTTTTCTGGTGGTTAATTGGAGATATGAGTCTCATGGACTTTCCTGGGCTGGCTTTGAACTGTGATTCTCAGATCTGAGCCACCTGAGTAGCTAGGATTACAGGTGTGAGCCATCGGCATCTGACACAATTTAGTTTTGACCTTTATCTTTGATAAATAATATTTTCCTCTTGTGTAGGGAAGGTATGTTTGTCATGGTAAATTTTATGCCCTGCTCTTAAGTAGAGAAGGAAAGGTGAAAGAGCATTTCTTAATCTGTTCTTTCTCAGTTGCCTTCAATTTGAAGCAGTCAGTGGTATATTTTAGGGTGGCATGTTTTAACTCCCTTCATATGACAAGATGAATAAACTGTTGACCTTATCTTCAAATGAATGGTTATGTTAAAATGTGAAGAATAAAATAGCAAATAGGTCCCTGCAGGGCATAATGGAAGCAGGGAGGGAGAGAGCAATGAAATCTGTATTTTATCAAGTTTACCCAAGGCAACATCACCCCACTCATGGTGTGGGAATAGGATTGTCTGTGATAGAGCTTGTGTTTTAGATAGATAACTTTTGACTCATTGTCAACTCTGTTCTGTAGTTGTATAAATTCTCAACAAATAATTGAAGTAGAATTTTCCTGTCCATTTTTACCTAGGAGAAAACTGAGAGATGCTGATTAAAGCATCATTGTTGATTGAGCACTAGTGACTCTAAAATGGAGATTTTTGACTAAGAGGAGAAGCTTATGCCCTGGCAGCTAAAACATTGGCCTTTTAGGAGATAGGGAATTCTCCCAGTCAGATTCTGAAGGCCCATTTTGTCCATGCATATGATTGTTTCTCCACATTACCTGGGCATTTACAACATAAACATGTGTATGGCTTAGTTATATCTTATTAATTGTGGAGCCACAAAAAAATTTTTAAATGTACTGCCCTCGTTTCTAAAAGAAGGTTAAGCACATATTTACCAATGGCTTATTGTAGAGGCTGAGGATATCTGCATATTCATTATATTTCAGGATTCAAAAATAAAGTCAGACCTAAATTACAGTAAGTTCATTTTTTTTTTCTTGCTGTCTTTTTTAGTTAGGCAGCTCTTCTGAATAAGTCTACTGTAGAGTGAAGAGTCAACTCAAGCACCAGCCTCTTTTTAGTGGCCCCGAGGTCTCCTAGGGCTCCAGAATTCTCCACTGAATCCTCTTTCAATTGCCCTAGCAAAGGAAGAGTGCAAGCCAGGATTTCATGGTGTATTTAGAAGTCATTGAAATTGGATAGACAAGAAAATATCTGCTTTAATTTGCAGTTATTTCGTAGTAAAGCTAAAATTCTATGTTATACACTTGTCTTTTGTAAGTTAATGAGTGCCTGTAGGTTTATATAATACAAATTGGTTTTTTTTTTTTGGTCAACAAGTACTTTTTAGACTAGTACTGTACCACTTTAGCCACATATCCATCCAAGAAAATGCTTTTTTGTGCACAGTATCTTGTAGTTTTGATACTTAAGAAATACTTAGTGGCTGGGCGCTGGTGGCTCACGCCTGTAATCCTAGCTACTCAGGAGGCTGAGATCTGAGGATCGTGGTTCAAAGCCAGCCTGGGCAGGAAAGACCGTGAGACTCCTTTCTCCAATAAACCACCAGAAAACCGGAAGTGGCGCTGTAGCTCAAGTGGTAGAGCGCTCGCCTTGAGCTGAAGAGCTGAGGGACAGCGCCCAGGCCCAGAGTTCAAGCCCCATGACCGACAAAAAAAAAAAAAAAGAAATACTTAGTGAATTGTACTGACTTCTGTCTCCAGTTTTGAAGAGGACACTGTGTGGATATATATGTAGAGACAGAGTCATTTCTGCCTTAGAGTATGGCTTTGCCAGTTCCTGAAGCATAGGAACATAGTAGCAGTGAGAAAATAATACAATAGGATATAAAAAATACAGTAGAATATAGTACAATAGAATATGATACAATACATCACTGAGCTACTGTTATATTTTCACCAATCATTTGTTGTTGTAATGTCTACCCTCTCACTCCCAACCTGTTAGCATAGTACTAAAGGTCCTTCAGCCTCTGGTCTTTATCCACATATCTGGCTTTACTAGTCTCTCACCTACATCCTCCACACTTACCTAAATGTATCTCAAGTTTCTAGAGAGAGAGCTCCTTTCTTGCCAGCTATATGCTCTGTGGTCAAACAACAATTAGAAACCTGGGTTCTGAGGTCAGAGCAATCTATCTGGGTTGTG